AAACATTGTGTTAATGTACTTTGTTAATGAGTGTAAATATACCTACATTTAAGTTTTGATCATTAATGCAATCACTCCTATACATTATACAGATGAGTTAAATACTAATAAAATTACTGGCAATATTAGCAGTATGTATAATAATAGTTATGGTTGTACATTAACTATGATATAAAACATATAAGATAATTTCATTTTAAGCGAACAAGTTCATAGGCACAGTCCCAGAAACAGAACAAAGCAAATTCACTCTCCAATAAAGTTATTTTGAATTCTAGTGTCTTTTTTGGTTATTGTTTTTTGGATTTTATCTACATCATGTTGGAGAAATTTCATTCACTTTTTTTTATACATAGTGTTGCTGTTTATAATAATGTTAAACATCTCGTGATCATCAACGCAAGGAATTTTTTTTCGTTATGTCCATTCAAATTTTATTATTTTAATAAATTTTTACATACAATAAAACTTTTGACATTATTGTAGTGTACATAATCTAATCATTCGATCAACAAATAAACTTATTAACCCATTGCTACTAATCATTATCATTACCTTAACACATTGTTTTAAAGTAAAAAATTAATGTTATTACATTTAATCATAATAGTAATAATTAATATCAGCCTCATTATTTTTTTCTGTTAGCTTTTGTCTTCGTTCTTTAGTTTGATAAGAATTCCTACGCCGTTAGAAATATAAACAGGTATATTTGACCAATTATAAATAATGGAATATGCGGTTTTCATGCTAAGAGAAAAAAAATAAAAAGTAGTAAATTTTTTTAGGAAAATTGTTCGTGTACTACCTCTTCTGCAATATATTATGACAAACAATTAATGAGGGTTATTAGTAGTGGAAAATGTCATACACTGTAATTTTCACTCAATATTGAGCATTTTGATAATTTTACTCATTTGTGATAATATTTGAACTAAAACTACTTTCACTCAAATATAAATACCTACTCGTTAAATAAATTATGTAGATAAACTCGTATTTGGTGCACTTGTAGCTAAATTTATCAAATATTTTGGACTCTCATGGCAGGATAGATGTAGTCTAGATCATCGCATTCTGATGTTGGAAAAGCTGGGAGGAATTGGTTTTAGCCCTGCATTGTTGGACTTATTTTCGTCTTATATTAAAGATATAGTCTACTTCGTTGCGTTTAATGAATACAATAATCTCAGCGACTTACTGCAGCATCAGGCGTCCCCCAAGGATCCAATTTAGGTCCATTGCTTTTCCTAATTTTTATCAATGATATTTGTTCTGTCTTGAAATGTGAAAATCTAATTTTCGCTGATGATTTGAAAATATATCGGAAAATTGATGATACCTCAGATAACTTAATCTTACATAATGATTTGGCCAATATTGAACTTAACGTTGCCAAGTGTAAAGTGGTAAGATAAATTTTGAGAAATATATATATATATAAAATTGATAATCACAGCTTGCAATCTATGAAAACAATGAAATATTTATGAGTTTTATTTAATTTCCGTTTGAGTTGATCACATTTATCAAATCCAATCGCATGCCAGGAAAATGAGCGGGATTATAGTCCGCAATTGTCATTTGTTTACTAATATCAAAGCTTTGGAAAAAAGTCACTCACTTGATAGTTAGCAGAAACTCGGATTTAAATAAAATTCACTCACTTCTGTTGCAATAGTTTCACTCACAAAATTTTAGTTGTATTCATATTAATAGAGTGAAAATTTCACTCAATCGGGTGCGGACAGAAATTGATATATTATTGAGAAAAATTGAGTGAAATTTTCTTTACAGTGCATGATTATGAGAATTTTTACTTACAAGTTGATGAAGATGGAATTGAGGTAGAGGTATTTTATGAAAGAATGTAATCTTTTTCCTTGGACGGTAAGAATTTCAAGTCTTTTTTTCATATTTTTCGATTATAATTATGGGAAGACATTCTAGCGAAACATCATTATTATTCTTAAACATTATTCACTACAGGACATTTAGGTATATTGTTGTACTAAGTACTTCTTATTTAAGTGTATGCGATAAAGAGGTAAACGTAAATCATAGTAAGAGGTAAACTAATAAACTACCCCGTACGGTCGCCTGCTCGCGGTCACATTCCGGTGCTTCTCCCCCTAAATCGAGTCCGGCTAACTTTTATTAGATTCGAAGACGCGGCCCCGCATTTATGATTCCAATAAAACGGGGACAATGTATTGCCCTTACATGATCAAGTGCTTTATGGGCCTTTGTCCGGGCGGAATGAAGAAATCCGATTTCCTCCGGTCACATACTCCCATTCCGGCCGCACGTGATCCCCCTCCTTAAATCATCGGCTGGGTTTATTGGGTTTTCGAGAGTTACATGAAAAATCGTAATGTATAGGAAGGTCCGCAGCTGTTTAACTCGGGAGTATCACAATGTATACATTTCGGATCCTATAATATGGCTCTCATTTCAGTCTTATGGGAGTACAAATATAAGTTTGATGCCCACAATATTTCTAATTTTGCAAATGTAAAGGATAAGCCATACATCCTTGATTAAAATATGTCTTTAATATTAAAGCAACCCAATTTCATATTTCACGGAAAAATACATGTCTATAAGGTATCTACTCGTATTTTATACCTACATGTCGCCATAGAAATGTATTCTCTTTGCTGACGATACCACTCTGTTTAATACAAGTGTCAGTGTGGAATCCTTGAAGAGCTTTATTTCTGTTTCAGTAATAAAATTCAGCATTTGTTTTTGTCTAAAAAAATGGCCAAAAATAATAATAATAATTCATTGCATGTTTTGGGAATTGATGAAGGTTTATCTTGGAAAGATCATGTAAATAATCTCTGTGCTAAGTTGCAAGCATAATATTTTTAATTAGACAATTACGTGGGCTTCTCAATTATGATATCTTATGTGTGGTATATAACTCCAATTCTGCCAGAAAGGTATTTCGCTAACAAAAGAAAATAATTCTTATTCTAGCGTCGTCTTCAAAATTTAGCCTTTTTTATTTATTTATTTTAGACATACATAGTAATTAAAAGATTTTAGTGAGTAAGGTGACCTTTCCAGTTACAATATAAAGCAAGTAAATTCCTAAATTTAAATTAACCAAACCCAAAAAGAATTCATTAAATTGAAATTCGTATAATAAACTAAGTCGAATAACTGGATCATTAGGTACAATCTATAACATTTAAAAATAAAATAAAAAGTTATAAAGTAAGTAGTACAAATAATGCTGATTACTCTGGTAAAGGACTATTTTGAAGATTCCAATATTATCTCACATTTATCAAATAAATTCCTTGTATGAATTGTTCTGAGATGAACTTTTCATATTACTATTATTACACTGCAAAAAATGTAAACCTTGAAAAATGTAAAATTACGGCACGAATCATTGGCAATTCTGTTACCTATGATTCGTGCCTGAATATTACTGAACTTGTATAAATTTACAAAAAAAAATGTAAATTTACATCGTAATTTTAAATAGATCCATACATATATTACCGTGTAATTTTACATACTGATAAATTTAATTTTACCCTGTAAAACTGTAATTTTGCTATGCAAAATTGTAATTTTAATATGTACAATTTTAATTTTACATTGTAAAATATTAATGTTATCATGTAAAATTGTAATTCTACAACTTAAAATTGTAATTTTAATATGTAAAATTTTTGTTTTACACACTATTTTTACAGTGATGGTGTAAAACTACTTTGTATTTTTTAGGTTTACACAGTAAAATTGTATTATTTAGAGATACTTTTACACCTACATGTAGAAATTCAGTGTATTTTCAATAAATAATCCATAGATATAATTTGGAATAATGTAACATTTAGGTTTCATACTACAAAATTATAATACATACCTTTTTTACTTTTTCATAAAAGTATTAAACTAATTTAAATCAATTTTCATATAATGAAGCTATTGACACCGAACATCTATAGGTATACAAAAGAAACAATTTAATTTATTTTTCACTGTCCTGTAAAACTTGCCATTTTTGAGTTTATTACACTTTTCTTCGGGATGTGCTACATACAAAGTTGCATTCAATAAATATTTAAATCAAAGTAATCTAGCTAAATATTTATATTATAAAAACACATAGGTATCTAAGTACTTAGCATATTGAAATTATTATAATGTTTTCAAAACTACATAGATTTTTGGATCACTTTGTAATTAGCCGCTATCTAGCCGCTAATTAGCCGCTAGTAGATCTGGCTTATTTCAGCATTTTAAGGATTGAGTCTTCAGGTGGCCTACTCTTTGAAGACGCCATCCTTAAAATTCAAAAATAGGTCAGAAGGTCAGATCTACTTATAGTGAGCTGTTTCACCAATATGTTTTAAATATTTATTGTATCCAACTTTATATATGAAGCTGTTTCTTTTATATACCAAAATATTTGTTGTCAAAAGCATACAACTTCATTGACAGGAACTGTAAGCAAATTGATTTAAATTAGCTTAATTACCTGTTCGAAAAAAATTTAAAAAATCGGTATAAAAGCTAATAAAAATATATAAGTATAGGTAAAATATTGTGGGCGTAATTTAACGCTGGTCAGGGCGGTTGCCCGCAGAGTGGTAAGTTTCACACAATAGTATTAATAAATACTTAATAAAAAAAATTATAATACTTACATTATAAAGTAACTGCATTCTTATATTGGCTTTTGAAAAATGTATATTTCGCACAGAGACAAAAAAGCAGTAAAAAATCTGTAGCATATATGTCATAATAAAATATTGTGGTAAGAATTTTTTTTTGGTAACTATTAAATTGCCAATAATTCGTGCCGCCCGTGTACCCCGCTTTGATCTGTAACATAATTTGGCAAATAAGCTAGAAGAAAGAACTACAAAGAAAATATATCTATATTTTATACATTACACAGATAAACATAAATATAAATACATGTAAATAAACATAAATATTATTACAAAATAACAAATATAAAACTTCTGTAGATAAATGTAGTGTAAAAGATATTTAGCCCTCATTTTCTGTTAGTTTTTTCATCAAGGCAATAACCTTCTTCTTGGACGCAGAAAATATTTTGCTTTTGGTTCCTTGGTCGGGATGGGTTTTCATATAATATCGTTGCACAAACTCAAACGTGCAAGAGAGGCTTTTCGGGTATTGCATATTGCATATGTAATACATAGCATAACATTGTTGAAATGCTGATACAAAATCTGTTGTACCATTATTTATTAGTTCTTTCTCAATTGCTACGTGATAATTTGTACCCTTATCATCCTCTGAAAACAATAATTTATAATTATACATACTCAGTAAAAAATAACATTAAGTAAGTTCAAACACGTAAATTATTTTGGTGTTGAACGTTGAGTGAATTCAATTAACCTTTAACAAAATAAGTTTATCAAATAAGGTTTGGTTAGAGATGAAAAGAAGAACAATGGAATATATAACTCAATTTTGTGTTTGTAACAACACATATTTAGTAACTCAATTTAAAAGTTATTTTCGAAAGTAATTACTCATAAAAGATTTATTTAGTAAATTTATTATGTTTAGTAGTAAATTTAGTATATTCATTATTTATTTAGTAGACTTATTTAGTAAAAAAAGCTGAGTGAACATTACCCAACAAATTGTGTTATTATTTCAACACAATCGGGTGTGGACTCGTTTTAACAACCAATTACCTTGATTTTGAATGAAAACTGGCTCAAAATTTTGTTACGGTGATATATGTACAGTGTGATCAGGAAGACGAACAAAATTCCAAAGCAAAATTAATATATTGTTAGTTACCTGATATCACTATGCACGGTGAATTGATAAGCAGGTTCTCCAAATTATCTTTAGTCTGCAATAAAAAAATATATTAGATAATATTAAGAGTGTAATAATTGTTTTATGCCATACCTGTACTTTATGTAATAAGTCATCTATTTGTTCTTTAAAGTGTTTAGCAACCACTTTCAGAGCTTCTACACAATTTTTTGTATTATCGGATCCCAATGTAAAAGATGTCAGTTTTTTTAGCTTCCCAAAATTAATTATTTTTTCGCATTTTCTTTTCATATTGAAGCCTAAATCGTTTATATCTTGCGACATCAATTTTTTATAATGCCAATATATTCCAATTTCCTCTAGAAGAATGGGCCATTTTTCTTTTATGTCAATTATGGTAGGTGGTTGTTCAGGGTTGTTAAGAAAGTCTCTTTGATTTGAATATGTTTGTTCTAGGAGTTCAAATATTTCGTTTTCTTCCATACTTTCATACAATTGTTTTAGGTTTGTGAGTAGCTTTTCTTTGTCCTCTACAAGTGGTAACACCATAGATTCAGATGATTCCCAATGGGAGCATCCTGCTCTAGCAGCAAGACATCTTTTTTTGAGAGCATTATGCATAATGTTGTTTCTGTCAGTGCTTCTTTTGTGGGGCCTATTTAAATAATTGTTTCTGTCTTGAATTTTGCATAGCAATGTATGGGAGCCATCTCCCAAAACAACGCCATCATCGTCGACGTCTCTAAATGTTTCCGGATATTTCTCTATCATTTTTCTAACTATAATTTTTATTGTTTTATTGGAAATATTCTTTTTTATTCCCCTTATCTCATTTACTATGAAATGAACAGCTTCATTAATTACGCGTCTGCCGCGTTTACCTGCTTTACAAGCAGTCAATATTTCTTTAGGCATTTTTTCCCATGGTATTTTAAAATTATTCCATAAATCTTCTGATATTATAGATGGGAAAGTATCAATATTTTGATGGGTCATTGTATTAGGCTTATTAATATCATTTTCTTGAGAAGAGTCAACATGCTCCGTACTGGTTTGTTGTATAAAGCTGATATCTATATCATTAACATTAAAAACTTCGTCACGAAAACTGTTATTTGACATGGTAGCAGTATCACTGGTAATATTAGAAACTTTAGTAATTATTCCAGTATTAGGTAATAAGGGTAGCCAAATTTCATTTGTTTGCAAGAGTATCAAAGTTTCGTTACTTAACATTCTCAATGTTTCGTTGTCATCTACAACACTTCCATCTGATTCTAATACTACTACAGACCCATTAATTTGCAGTTTTTCATTTGCTAAAATATTTTTTAGAATTTAGGAAAATTGATTTCAATCATAGAAAATTAATTTCAGTCAAGAAATATTAATTTCAAATCTAAATTTTTGCACGAAAATTACCTTTTAAAACAAGAGCTTCATACAAATTTTCGTCATTAGACAGAACGAAACAACACTTTTTTGTTCTATGCACATTCCATACCTTAAAAAACAACTTGGGTTCCATTTTGCAGGAAAAGAAATATTCACTTGACTGGAAATAAAAGAAATTAGAAATGTAGTACATATATAATGTCTTGAGTAACAAACAATAACGTGCGAATTAATTAATTAACCGTTGTTTTATGCAGACATGCAAATTAGTATAACAAGTTGATATCTTTCTACTATTTTTAGTTTAGTTTTAGTTATTTGTTTTTTTTATAGTTCTATGTATAGTTACTGTTATTAAAATTTGAACATACTCTTCTAATCTAAACTATACGGAGAAAATGTTGATAAATATTCCACAAGTAAATAAAACCTAATAAGATAATAATAGATAATAAGGGGCAATTTAATTTTTATTAATTTTTAATACCTAACAGTTAATATTTAAAGGAGCCGATTTAAAATAATAATATTTTTGATTTGCTTGACTAGTAGTACATGAATATAAAGGTTCGTGACTCAAAATACTTTCATAATTAATACAAACTAAAGAACTATTTGATGTAGGAATACCGCCAACAGAATAAAATAATCCAATATTCCTATCGTAAGAAATTTCAAGTGAATTTCCAACAAAATAAATTTGAGAGTATGAATTATTAATTAATGTATAAATTATTCTACAAAGTAAAAAATGTCCTTCTTCTGTGATTTTGTAGCATAAAAACATATTTTCTTTATATATTGTACCTCTAAAATCTGCACATTTACTTAAAAAAATTGGGTTTTGGAAGCAACAGTTAGAAGCTATAATATTTTTAAAAGGTTCATCAAAATTGTCAGCTTGATATATTTGTACATTTTCTGCAAAAACGATATCTTTCAAATTTAACGACTGACTTAAAAGTAAAGCTTGAAGGAGTTGGTGTCTTTCTGAAAGGCTATATAAAATATTTTTAAAATTTGGGGAATGTTTAGCGATATTTTTAAAATATTTATGTTTGCTTTCACAACGTAAAGTCCATAAATATCTTAAAGGTCCAAACTGAATAATAAGGTCAGCATAATGTAGCAGATAGTGATGTTTTGGTCTTAATTTATGGTCCTTAAATAACTCAGAACGAGTTTCAATATATTCTTGTGTTAAACTTTTTAAATAAGCTATTTGCCCTATGTGAAGTTTGAAAGCCAGTATAATATTACTTATTTCTCTTAGTAATAAAATCATTTGCCACACAGGATCATCAAAATTACTATTAAAACAATCATATACTGCAAAAGGTAAAACTTGTAAGAGTAATAAGTTTTCGTGGGCACTTCCTGGTAGCTTGTCTGCTTTACTTTTAATCGTTGGTAACTTAATAGTTTGCTGGTCAAATTTTAAATTTTGCAACCTGTAATTTAATATTTCTATTGTAAATATATTTTTTTTATAAAATAATTAAGAGCAAGCATTAAATCATATTGTACTATGCCCTCGTACAAATCATGTGCAATGCATGGAGGCAATCCAGGATTACATACATGAAAATATTTCAGATCATTCAAAACTGAGTTATTTTTAACACCTCTATACGAATCACATAAAGCTAAACTAATTTGATAATCATCATCATATGAGTCAACAGACCTTTTCGAAAATTTTGAAAATTTAGCACCGAGATCATTAGTTTGTATATAGCAGAAACGACAAATATAATGACATTTACTAAAATTTTCAGAAAAACCACCAATTTGATGACTTCCTAAATTATCCCCTAACATTGCTATTAGTGTACCTTTTACGTTTGAGTTATTGATAATAATACCAACTTCTTCCAACGTTTTCAAGTCATTGACGATCACATTAAAAACTTCTGAAAAACCTAACTTGTCTACATCTCGTTGACGCACTAAAGCAACCAAACTTATGTTTTCAACTTTGCTCCAATGAAATTGTAATAGGTTTGCTAAAATCATATAGACGCCTATAATCTTATGTTTTTTTTTAGAAGAACCTAGAGGGTTGCAAAGTTCAAACGCGTCTTGAAATAAAATAATTCGGATTCCATTAGGATTATCTCTGAATAATTTATTATTTTTGAACACAGATCCGTCTATTATATTTGAATAAATATGTTCATTTCTGTTAACCGGCTCATTATGTAACCATTGATTTAAAACATTTTCGTTTTCTAACAAAGCTTTTAATGTATCCAATACCGGTACGTAAAACCAATAAGAAAATACGTTATTGCCATGACATAGCTCTAGACATTTCGCAGGAATAAAATTATATTCTTTTTTATAGAAACTTGTACGAAGGAAAGACGATCTCAATGGACCAGTTAATGAATTATGTATAACATTAAATACGTCAAATTTATCCAACTCCTCCTTGCTAATATTTGCATTATATTTTTTATTTAAATAAGATATAAGGGAATTATTAGATGCATCAGCAGTAATATTTCGAAACCCATCGATAATAGTACTTATAGCTTTGGCAGTGAGAAAATATTTAGTGTATAATGTTAAATATAACTCTGCAAATGATTTCAAATAACAGTTTTCAGACAAAGATATAAACTCAGAATCAGAGTGTCTGTTCTCATAAGAGCGGGTATCAGTAATTTCTTGAGTATATCTTTCTACTTTTTCACAATCATCATTAGATTGTTCATCATCATTGTCTTTAGTAAATTCTGTACTACATCTGTCATTAAAGAGTTTTGATGTATTAAAAGAATGGCTATGTTTCCTGCATACATGACTCCTCCATGTAGAAATATTTTTGTATCTAACCGTCGATCGCAAGCATCCACTCATCGGACATTTTACTGAAAGTCCTTTAAAAATGTGTTCCTTCATATGAACTGACAATTCTAATTTTGAAGTTATGATATAAGAACAACTACTTTGAGTACAACTAGCGATACAATTAGTATTTCTCAAAGCTCTTTTAGGGGCGCCACTTATATTATGATTGCGATATAAATGCATGTAAAAACAGCGGTAATTTTTAAATTGTCTGAAGCAATGTAAATATACGCATCGAAATATTGCATTAGGAAGATATTTATGTAATCGTTGATGTTTGTTATATCTCTCTATAGTTTCCAATGGTGTTTTACATGTACTACAGATAAATTCCATTTTTGTGCGACGTTTTTCTTGTCAGCTAATATCAATATAAATATATCAATTCCGATATACATAAATATTCACCAAGTCCATATATATTACGTTTGATTCTTATTGGCATGTTGCAAAACCATAAGGAACCCAGAGATACTTAAATTAGAAAAAAAACCATAAGTTCATACATGCAAATATGTTTGCCAATTTGTATATTTGTAAAAGTAATTTTAGGCAGAAAAATTCAAGTGGGTTGTGGGCTGGCTAAACCTTTGTTATTAATAACAGTTAATAAGTTTTAAAACACACAATTCACATAAAAAGTCCCTAACAGCAATGCTATTAACTTGTATATAAATATTAAATAATAAAGTACTTATTGTTAACTTCAAATTTAAACTTTGTTAATAGGTATAAATTTATTAAATTCCAGTAGGATGTGCCATTTAACTCTGTAGCACTGGATTTAAGTAAAGTAAAGTTTAAGTAAAGTAGTTCTGAAATTTGTTTTTGTTAAAATAATGTTTATTGTGTACAACTTTGATTATTACCTATTTGTTATCTGAAATTAAATTTAATCAAAAAGCAAAAAATATATGTAATGTAACCCCACCAAGTCAGCCAAGCTAACCCAAATATATTAGAATTGGACCTCTTAAAAAAGTTATTAAGTTAGTTTAAATATTATGAATAAGTATATCATTAAGAATGGGCAATCTCTAAACTGAAGTTATTTCACACCAAAATATGATGAATGATTGAGCTTAACATGCCTTATGCAAATGTTGTAGGTTTACGAGATACATGGTATTCATAGTTGGAATGTTATTTTCAAATTTCTCAATAATTTTGAAATTTTAAGCGCAATCAACTGGAAAATTGGTAGTTTAAAATGCAAATAATTCAAAACCCAATAGAATTAGATGAATTAAACAAGAATACCTTTTCTATATAAAACTGAACTGCCTTTTAGATTTTTAATTCACTGTAGCAATAGTTCATTAGATAAAAAAATGTGTTCTGATTTACTGAAGTACCAGAGTGTAACTAACACCCTGTACAGATAACGGCAAATTCAGCATCTAATTCGTAATTCTTGTGCCAAAAAACATAAAACCACCAATTTTCCAGTTGATTCTGCAAAAAATTTCAAAATTCAGAAATTCCAAATTAAAATTCCTATTTTGAACACCCTGTATCTTGTAAACCTGTTAGATTTGCGTAAGACATATGAGGCTGAAATATCATATTTTGGAGAGTAGTAGATTAGGTATCTCCAGTTTAGAGATTGCCCATTCTCAATGAATCAAGCCAATAAAATCGTTAATTGTTGATAATTAAGACATTGCTTTTTTAATTAAGACTCCTATAGTAGTCCGTATACGGTTCGATTAATAGAACTTTTTTTTGTATAAAATAAACACAGTTTCATAACTTCCAGTCTAGACTACAAAATAAACTATTTGTTTTATTGTAAAGGTGTTACACTAATTCTACAATTATGTACTGATGTCTAAGAGCAAATTTTGTAATTAGGAAAGTTATTTAATAATTTATTATATTATGTCAGGCATGTGTATTTGAGCAGATTATTGTTATTTTAGGTAGCTTCCGATTCCATCCTTGTCTGTGGAATTATTTCTTTACCATACCCAGCATCCAGCTAGAGTTATTCAAAGATTATTCATGCGTTATAAATTGTAGGAAAATTGATTAGAATTAGCTTATTACCCTTACAATGAAAAAAAAACTACAAAAAACTAATAATGAAATATGTGTGAGTAAAATATTGTGTATTCAATGTTGGTCGAGGCAGAGTGGTTATTTCTCATCATATTATTAATATTTATACCTAATAATAAAGTATAACAAAGTAAACTACTTCTACACATATTTATTAATATTATATATTACTTTAAATAACTTACCTTTATTTTTTTTAAGAAAGATTACTAATTATAAGTATACGCACAGTTCACTACAACTACACAGCGTGGTCTGCCTGACCAATTGCATCGTTGCGAGTCTAGACTAGTTGGCGGCGCTGTTGTTTCTACATTAAATCATTTGTAAATATACTTACCTTTTAATGTAAAATCACATAAGCAAATGAAATATACATTTTTGTTGTAAAATTTTTTAACAGTTGTAATAGCACGGTGTGAATTTACTGAAATTGAGATTATGAAGTAAAAACACATAACTTCCTCAGTAAAATATAAATATTTTTATAATTACGAAAAATATTTAATTTTACTTTACGAATCATGTAATACTGTAATGTAAATTCACAAATGTGTTGGATTTTTACCCCAATTTTTAAGAGTGTACACTCGTTTTACTGCATTCCCTTATTTTATTGTATTTTTGCATTCTAGGGTGACTTTTATTAAATAATTGATTTAGCGTATAGGATTTATACCTATAGTTAAGTATAAGTATAGCTGATATTTGACATAATACTACATTTGTACGAATGTATGTAAACAGTTGTCAAATAAATATCTATCTATAAAATTGTAGCACTGTTGATTACAATTTATGCAGAAGATACGACCAACTACAATTTGTGTTATACATTATTAGCAAATTTTATTAAAAAAGACTTAACTTTAACTTTTTCACAATTTTGTTAAATACCTATATTTACTTTCCATTTTGATATAAGTATATAACAATTGTGTTAAGTAAGTAAATAATAAAATCTCTAAATTCGTAAATATTCGACGATAATTACCATATAGGTAACTATAGTTGTCACCAGGTTACATTTTGAAAATTTTTAAAATCCTTTTGTAAATTTAAAACAAATTTTCTAGAAATTGTCTTGGGGTACAAAAAAATCAAAGTTCCGAGTAAATCATAAATATGCGATATAAACTGTTAAACTTTTCTTAATTTTTTTAATATAGGTATACTCAAATACCTACTATACCTATTGCTTTTATATTACATTGATATTATATGTAGCCTATGGTTATACTGATTTATATACCTACCTAAAATTTGTGATATGACCTACTAGTCTATAGATATTTTTCCATTGACAGCTTAGAAATCAAAAACAAAAAATTAATAGAAAGGTTTATATTACTATTTTTTAATTATTTTAATAATCCCGCGATGTGATAATATTAGAAACGTGGTACTAAGGTAAGCTCAAACCGAGAATAAAATGTAGAAAATATTCTTTGGTATGAACCTTTTGGTAGGAATTATTATTTTAATTATTCATTCCATTACTGCAATTTGTTTTGTACAGTTATTCACAACTATGATGACACTTAGCATGCCTGCATATGTGACAGAAATAAAATTAAGTACCTATAAGGAATTTCATATAATCAAGAGGAAATGCCAGAGGCGTAACAAAAAGCTGTTAATGCGCATGTCCAGGTCAGATATATCTCAATACTTTTTGAAAAATTTATATAATTTTAAATAAAAACCAACATTATAAAATATATATAAATAAAAAAAACTTTATTATTTTCACTACGAATACAGATGTAGATAAACATTGTAGAAATCAGTAGAACAGCAACAATGAAAAGCAATAGATTTTTTTGTGGAATTAAGTAAAGGTAAATACTCTTTATACACGATTATAGTTTTGACAATTTTTTTGACACAAAATAATTTAGTACTAATTTTTTACGAGGCATTTTTTCCATATAGGATTACGTTTTGTGTCTTAAGGGAGCTATTCTATCAAAATGGTGCAATAAAATGTCATCATGATTGAATAATTTCTTAATAGTAATTGATTTTGGAACCATATATGAAGAAATATACACCTGAACCGAGGTTATCTATCTATTTATGGATTTTATATCACATTTAATGACTAAAATATGTCTTTTTCATCTATCTACCTATACATACAGAAGACAAAAACAAACAGTTTCTTCAGGCTTCTTCTGTTGACCTGAGTAAATTGTAAATATATATACTTAGCTACATATTTTGAACCATTTAAAACTTCCCTCTCCCAAATTTCATCATTGGAAAGATTTGTATTTTTTTTGTTTTAGTTTCAGTTTTTTGCAAAGACAAAGGATTTTAGATATTTAATATTTGAACACCTGCTATTTTAAAGAGTAACGGAGAACAACAGACAAAAAGACAGCAAAAAGGAAAGGGGTTGACATTCATTTATAAACATATATTTCTTTACAACAGTTGACACTATATTTGATTGCAATGAAATATACGTACTGATTGAATTTAAGTGATGGTTATAGGTATTCGTTTTCCTTATTTTTAATTTTAAATCCGACAAATTCTAGAAGTTTACGAAGAAATTTCATATAAATCATCATTTTTATTAATCAAATCATCAACTTTTGGTAACAGGAGTACTTATTATTAATAATACCCTAGTTGGACATTCTAGTTTTCAGTATTATGGTTATTTATAAATTCACTGATGTTTAAAATCTTTAGCTTCGAATAGATATACATGAACTTTTGTTGTATTTTGTGCCCCTGAGTAAACCGAGTAAAATACGAATATGCGATTGAAAAAAATATTTTTAAATCATTATTTAAAACTCAGGACCTCTCCTGACCGCTGAATGAATTCTGACCTACCGTATTCGGTCACTAACCTAGCTTTTACTGCGTTTTTAATAGTGAACGACAAAAACAGACTTTTTACATTTTAAATACTTATAACAAGTATTATTTATTTGTTAATTAAAATAAAGGATAATTGTTTTCGAATGTTAGGTCATTGCAATTTAGTAAACGTTTTCACTATATTTTATAATTGAATACGTTTTTGGTACCTATTATGTTCAAAATTATTCAGTTTGTAGTATTGTGTATGGTTAAAAAAACTTTCACTCATCCATCCCTAACAGTTGTTTAAGATGGGATCCATTGCACTTTGATTTTGAAACCAACTGTAAGACGACTGGGAAATCAGCTGTTTCCTGTGGTGCGCCGGCGCGTTCCCAGTCAGTAGATGTGATGCAAAGCAGGGCGCCGAATTAACGGGAGTTAAGGGGTAATTTGCTTATTTTCTAAAAGCTCGAGTAAAATTTTTTCTTTTCGAATTTCTATCTTTATTAGGCCTTCCGAATACGTGGTTAAAATTATTGACATTTTAACTGAATCACCCTGTATATAGAGTGTTGTCCAAAAACAACAATTATTACCTCTAGGGTGCAATTAAAATAACTATTTTCAATAATCCTCTTCCATTTTATTATTTTTGTCGCCAATAAAACCGTCAAGCAGATCCTCCAGACCGAAAGCCCTCCATATTAATGGGCCCTAACGTAATTATCGTCTAATAAAAGAAAAACAATCAACAACAGGTAAGCAAATCGAAGGACCGCACGGCACTGCCGCCGGGCGGATCTCAGCGCTGGACCCTCCCGCGGGCGTGGTCAGTTTCGCCCCACCCCGCGACATCCTTTGAACAGAAGAAAGCGCCGCGGAACGCCCGCCCAGGTGTGCCTCGCGGCGAGGGGGGACAAAATAAAAAGCCAACATGTCATCGGTTAAGACAGAGGGGAGAATTCGTCCAAAAAATGGCACATTCCTCTGATAACGTCTCGGCGGAGTGGTCAGTTGACGTTGAACAGCGTCGCGAGAAGTAGCCCGAGGAAAACAAAGCCCGGCAATCAATTAGGGGCACGCCTCTCGAGGTGGGAGCGACCAATGTGAGTGCTTTCGCCGCGTATCAAAGTAATCGCGTTAAATGTGAACCAAAGGGATCTAAATATTCATTCTGTCAAAACAGCTCGCTTCTGTGGTTAAACGAGTCGCGCCTAGTGAAAGCGCTCGCGGAATATGACAGTTCTCGCGCGCGGACCGCCGCATCCGTTCTGACGATCGGTGGCATTTTCCTGGTGCGTGGCTTTCGGCTGTGATAGGATGTGCCGGGCGCGACGGTGACGGTGCCGAACTATGGAGGACAACTGCACGATCCGGCCCTGCGCCACGGACTTCAGCATAGCGGCGATCATGTCGAGACATGGTCGCGCTCGGACGGCCAGATGCAGGGATCCGCCGGATACCATCTCGCCTCTGGGTAAGCTTCGCGCCCTGGGATTGGGGTCTGTAGAGTGTGGCGGCCGTTCGGGCTGAAATGTTGTCATTGAATACCTTACGTTCCTATGTTTGCTGACCGAGTATTTATCTATGAAATATTAGCACGAAAATCCATACAATTGTGGCAAAAAATTGATCCTAAACAAGTTCCGTCAAACTTTGTTTAAAAATATGAAAATGTTCTGATTATATTTACAATTATAAAAGTACCAAAGTACCTATTAACTGCGTTTAAATAATAATACAGTAATGTAAATAAAACGTATAGGTATACATTTAAATGGACGTCTTGAGATAGGTACATTATCGATATTTAGATCGGAAGGTTTATTTTAAATTTAACATCTAGATACAGTTTTTCGATGTAGTGTTTTTTTTACAAAAAATAGTGTAAATTTTATAAGATTTAATATAAATAAAAAATAACGGTTGATCATGAAAGAAACGTATTTATTTACCAACACGAAAAAGGTATTAGAACGTAGCAAAAATGAATACAACTGGATGTCGTGTCAAATTTTGTTTAAAAATAAGAAAATGTAACAAACAGGTACATGATTATTTTTACAATTATTATGAAAGTGGCAAATGAAAGTAAATTTATCTTAGAATATTGTATGGATGTCTAAGATCCACCAAAAAAGTATAATTTATGTCAGTTCACTGTAGAGGGTGATTTTTCATAATTAATAGTGCAAATTATATACCTAGATATTTGCATAAATCTAATACTTATACCTACATACCTAAGTAGAAACTTTCATATATATTTTAAAAAGGTTTTAATATACTACCAACTACAAATGTAAGTAAAACATGTACTTAAAACCACTTTAGTCCTTAGCATATTCACGTAAGTTTTTAATTATAAAATTTAACTAGAAAAGATAAGTATTTTTTAAAGTTTATACTTATCGATTTAACATTATTTTAGTAACTAATTTGTTTTGTTTGTGTAGAATTAAGATGATCCAGTAATAATTAAATTCCTTTTATAGATAGTTTTACACAGATTTAGATGTTTAATAAACTTGATTTAGGCTAATGTATATTTTTTAGGTAAGTAAGTACTTACCTACGTTATTTTTTACATTCGTAGGTAATCAATAGATACATTTTTTTACCAATGGAGTAGGTAGCCAATTTTTATAAGTGGTAAATTTTAGACGATCTAAACATACCTACTTGCGGTATGTTTCTTGGGATAATTTATGTTTTGTCACATTGTCAAACGATATTGTAGCAAAGTTTTACACAACTTGTAGCAAGATTTATAGGTGTTATCTCTTTCATGAACTTTATGTAAAATAATTCCATACTTAATTAATAACAAATAGATATTTTTTAGCACGAACTATATTTTGGCAGAAGGTGAGGACTATTCACCTTCTGGGTTCTGTTTTGATTTCATGGCATTTTATAGACACACACAGTTTGTACTTTTTTAACGTGCTTATAAAAGTAACCAATAGATATTTTTCATTCAAATTTAATACTCACATAATTATTTTGGGAGACGTAGAATAATTCAGAGGTGTAATTCGATAAAAAATCCTTATTTACGTTATTAATCTGTTAACAAATTTATTATACTAAAAAATATAAACATCCTCATAAAAGATTTTGAATAGAGCCATATGCTTTATTGATTTTTACATAATTTGTATGCGTTTCTATATAATTTTGCAACTAACACTATAAATGCAAGATAATTGACATACTTTTAAGCCTTAGTTATATTTTAAAGACAATTGTATATTTAGATACTAACAAAATACTTATCCAAGTTCAAAATCTGTAATTGTGAGTTCATTATCTGATTTTCGAAAAGAAAGCTTCAAATCCCTTACAATTTTTCTTTTATTAACGAAATTTGACTACGAGTTTCAGAGTTAACAATATTCACTCCATCTTTAGGTCACTGTTTAAGAAAGTAAAATTTTAATTTTTAAAAACATGAATAGTAGGTATTTGTCTTATTTTAGACAATACATTTAACAATGTATTGTTAGACATTTTTGGTTTAGTTTTTAAATAAGTTATATTAACAATTTTGGGGAAATGAACTTCCTTAATATCCAGGTACCTAAAAATTACTTATCTAACTTTTTTTAACACTTCTTACAGTAAAGGAATACTGGCGATTTTATAATACAAAAAGTAATTCCCCATTTTCTAAAAAATGGCGAATGCGCTGGGAAACCACTAAATTTAAACGGTTTCTGGACAGAATACATCGCTTAAAACATATTTTACACGATATTTTGACACTTTCTAATTGGTTTTGAATTATGTAGTAAACCTATTCATATATTTTTCAGCAGGTCTATATCTAGCTATTTGCACTCCCAGAACGTTTAATTTGTTAATAATAGATAAAATCTACATCAAATAAATACCATGCTTAAAGAAAATGTTAAACAAATTCTCAATTTATAATGCGATTTGTTGAGCGGTTAAATATTTATTTGCCTGAATCCTGCATTTGAAATACAACTGTTAGCTGATGTTTAACATTACAAGCTTCGATACTTACATACATTTATTTCTGTGTAGATAATAAATATATTTAACAACATATTAAAAGAGAAAATAGCCGAGTAGATATCTTTGAAGTAATCATCTGCAAATATACCTCAGTACATATTTAGGTATCGAAATATTAAGGTACCTATATCTATATTTTTTTAAATATTTTAGCCATGCCATAATTGGAACTTTCTCGGTTTATTTTTACTACACGACTTAAGTATATTTGATAATATAAACATTCCTTCTTTAATAATACGACTTATTATAGTCGATATATTTTTGCAGCGGTCACTGAAACTTTTGAAATATGTCAAGAAAAATTTGTTACATTCACATTTTTGACCAAGTGTCTTACGAACTTCGTTTTTATTTGTGTTAAGACATACAAATATATTTTATGGTATTAGAAGCAGGCATATTTTTAATTGAAAGAACTTCGTTATGTTTTACAAGAACAAAAATTAGTTTATAATACATACATTTGTAATATTAGCTTTTGTACTTTTGAGATAACAAGCCTGTAGTCCATGGAGTATTTGTTTCATATACTTAATAACATTAGTTTATTAAACAAATGGTTGTCTTTGATGTTAGTTTTAAGTAGATATTGAGATGTATGGAAATGTAACATATTTAATAAAGTAAATATTGGCGTGGAAAGTAAAAACTGAGAAAATTAATTTTTCAAATTGGCAGTAATTAATGTTATATAAATTGCGTATGTGAAAGGGGTAAAATGAAAGAATGAATTATCTCACATTTATAGCTTGTCAAATGAGAAATTTTCAAGAAAATAAAATGTAAGGAAATTTGAAAATAGTAATGTTTTGTAATGATAAAATTAAATTGATTTTTTTTATATAAATAAGAAATTATTGTAAAATAGTTATTAAGTAGTGAGCAGTGAAAAATTAAAACGTGGAAACAGGAGTGCAGTTACTTGGAAACAGGAAGAAAAAAAAAGTTTGTTAGTTGATTTTCGAAAATTGAAGAAAGTATTAATCAAAAAATTGAGAGAAATGCGAAGAAAAGATAATTTAAATAATTAAAAGGTCCAGAAATAATTAAAGAAGACAAAAATCGTATATAAATAAGAATAGGAAAGGGTAGAGTCTCCTGTGAAGGACCAAATACAAGATAGCAAACCGTATACCAAATGTAATAGAGGAGCAGACAGACAGTAGAAAATTTATTCTCGGAGCAGAGCAGTTAGGTACGAGAATTGCAGTTGAGCTTTAGAAAAACGAGACAGAATCATCAAAGTTGAAGGGAAGGAGCAAAACTGTGTCTAAAATTGGAAAATAATAATAGAAATAAGTAAATTAGTTAATAGTATTGGCGTAGGTTACGTAGGGAAAATATAAGTTCATCTCAATTTTAATTAAATATACATTTTTTTAAAAATCAGGATTTCATTCTTTGATGTAAAGTTTTAACAAAATTAAAGTTATATAGAAGTCATTTAAGAAAAAAAAATAAGAATAAAAGTCAGTGATAGTTTCTTCTAAAGAACCACCCCTGGAGGGTAATAGAGTTTTGTTCTACATTATATAGGAAAAATATTACTTTCAAATTTATTTTGTATTGAAGAATTTTTCTTAGTTTTAAAATTAATAAATTGTCATATTAACCAAAATTTAATTCTAGGAATAATTTATCGTGGTAAAAAGTAATCTAAATTTATAAAACGAAAGAAAAACAAAATATAAATTTCACTGAGACTAGTGTCTACCTTTTAAGCAATTGAAGGTAAGTAGATTTTACTGTTTGACAATCTGAGCTATCCGAAGGTACATAAACATAAATTATATACACAAATAAATATACGAATAAATTGCACGACTAATAAAATAATATTACAATATATTTAGCTAATGGTGTAATGGAGCATAGGTATAGATATGATTTCATTAGAAAGTTTTAGGCTTTAGATTATAGATCAAATTCATCAAAATATTTTTAGGTACAGCTCATGCAAAGATATACCTAATACAAAGAAAACTTTACATTACATCCTACTTATATACCTACGTTAAAACTTCTATAGGTATAGGTAAAACTAAAGATCTTAAAATTTTCAAGCTATCATTATATAAAACGACTTTTTAAGAGTAGATATTAAATTAAATTTTTCTATATGATAATTATAACAAATTGAACATTCGATTGGTGTTACACTTTAGAATAATTTTCATTACCTACTTACTTTGCATAAGTTGCAAATTGTAAATATCATCCTTGTTGGTACAAAAATTTTCGTTAACAATGCTGATCCCACTACTGAAAAAAATACCTTCAAAGCGAATCAACTAACTTGTTCAATAAACTCATTTTACTTAGATTTTTTTAGCTTTGACAGACTTAAACTTCGCTAATTATACTTAAAATTTCCCTTAATGTATAGTTAAAAAGTTCTCTAATGAATACTTTAAAATGATTTATTTAATA